AAAGGTGGAATTCCTTCTTCTCTTGGAGGATTTTGGGGTATTGATGATTTGGGATTGATAGCTAAATCTTGGGATCAGAGTGGTTGTGATTTGGCTATCAAAACTTCCTCTTCTTGTTCGGGAGAGGATTCCTTCTCTTCTTCGAGGAGTTTATTATGAATGTTAGTGCAGGGAGTCTTTCCACTAATTCTATCAAGCATAGCCCTTGCTTCACTAGCAGACATTTTTATATGGCAAGGTCTGGCCTAGTGATGATGAGTTCATTAAAACGATCCCATGATGTACCAAGAGATTCTTCTCCTAGTTGTCTAAAATTTAGAATCTCTTTTTGAAGGCTAACCACTTTAGAGATGGAAAAGAAACATAAACAAATTTTTGAGCACAATGTTTCCTAATCTCCTGGCATACTCCCGGCGGTTGGGCTATACCATTGTTTAGCTCTTCCTATCAAAGAGAACGAAAACAACTTCCATCTTAAGGTCTTATCAGACATGCCAGCGATATGCAATCATGCACAGATCTGTTCAAACTCTTGTAGGTGCGAGTATGGATTTTTATTGCCTTCTCCCGAGAAGGATTTATCCTGAATTAGTTTTATAAAATACAGGCGCAGCTCATAACCAGGTGTTATGATAGGGTTTGAGGATTCTGGTGGCTTTAGGCTTGCGCTTGTGGGTTTAGCATATTGATAGATAGGAGTGGAATCCATGCTAAAAGAAAAATTAAAATAACAGAAAGAGTAAAAGATAAAAGGTTAAGCTAGGCTTGTAGTTAATTCAGCAACCATTTCCTCGGTGACGGCGCCAGAAAGCTTGTTGGTATATTTTAATGCATACATATAAATCCGCAAGTGTACGGATACCGCTGTAGCTTTCACCTGGAAGTATTCCAAGTATCATATCCATAGGGAAACATGTAAGACTAACTATGATCTAACTTAACTAAGGGTAGCAACAGGATAAATAGGATGCATCTACGATTAACCTAAGTCTAAGCACCACGCTTATACTTATGATTAATACTTTACTCCCCCGAGGAAAAGAATAAAGCACTCAAAAGAGACACAAACCTGATGAACAATATAAACAAGATGCTTACTTCGATCAGAAGTTGATTACTAGAGAAATCTCAGAGGCAAGCTCAGATAGAACTTGGGTCTACCAAGGTACAAGCCATAGAGAGAGCACCGATAGGCTGGCACCTCCTCCAAACTCTTCCCTCACTCTCTATCTCACTATTTCTATTTATAAGACTAGATCCTAAAGAGGACTAATCTTCTCTTGATAGCTGGCTCTGATCCTGACGAGGAGAATATGAATTAGAGTTTTAGGATGACTTCAGAGAGGGGGGTAGGGGCTGATATATATAGGCCGGAGCATCAATTTTGGACCCTCGGATCAAACTGACTTAAAGGACGGCGTAGATGCAACCTAGGAGGTGGTGGGAAACCAACATTCGAAGGAGAGATTGACATATGGGCCTAGGGGGTTGGGCGGCCTGCAGGTGGGGCCAGCCAGCCCCACATGGCAGCCACCTACCGTCCACTTTGGTGGTTTGCCTTCTAGAGTCTTCTAGAGTCTTCCCACATCGGTTTCGTTGCGGATAAACATAATTTGCTTTGACGAATAGGTCCTCCTTGCCGGTTTTCTGGATAAACCCTGCTGAAAACATAGATTCACCAAAACTCTTGGAATTTATTAGTTTAAACCCCTATACCTATGTTTGGTGATGGAATTAAGTATAAATGCAGGTTATGTTGACAATTTATAATTGGTGTTAGTGACCATCAACAACCACAAATGCCTTCATGGACTTCTCCCATAGCCAGTCTTGCCTGATCTGACCCTAAGCACTTCAGCAACAAGTCTTCGGTGGTTCTTCGATAGAGTTTGTCATTATGCAATACATATTTGAAAGCGCTTCGCCGAACACTTTTATCAATTTTGGCACTTGGATCACGTAGATATCTCAACAAGGGAGTCCTCCAATCTTCTAAATCGGCCCCAACGTCACCAGAAGTTGCGTCGGGCCGATTTGGTAGCTTTTTGGGCGAATTGACCGAGCTGGTCATAGAGGAATTGACTAAGTCGACTAGAGCAGTCGGCTTAGCCAACTTGGTGGAGTCGGCCTAGCCGACTAGGGCAGTCAGCCTAGCTGATTTGGCTAGATCAGAGGGGAAGTCGGCTGAGTCGACTAGGTGTGTCGGCTTAGCCGATTAGTCTGCACCTGCACGGGAAAAATTTAAATTTTTATGCATCGGCTATTCTTGAATATGAAAATTACGCCCACCGACATCATAGCCAGATGCTTGTTGAGTTAACATGTTGGCCTTTTGATTTTCATGCCTCGGAATATGCCAAATTCAAAATTCGACAAAATAGTCAATAACATCGAGGCAAGCATCAAGACAAGCTCTTAGTGATCCTTCTAAACATTGAAATTCACCAGCAACTTGCTGTACCACCAGCAAGGAATCACCATAGGCTTCAACATGTTTTACTTCCATGGACAGCAACATGATCAACCCAAATTATAGAGCTTCGTATTCGATTTGATTGTTGGTACAAGAGAAATCTAATTGGCTTGACATCCCAATTTCAGCACCATTGGGAGAAACAAGAATAATACCAACACCTTGGCCATCTTTACAAACTGATCCATCAAAGTACAATTTCCATGGAGTAAAAGTAAGGTAATTGACTTCATCATCAATACCATGCTCAACAATAAAATCAGCAAGAACTTGACCCTTTAATGTTTTCAATGGTTCAAAAGTAAAGTCATATTCTATTAGTGCATGTGCCCATTTGCCTATACTTCCACAAAGAATTGGCCGATATAACATGTGCTTTATTACATCGGTCTGGCAAGCAACAACACATGTACTAGACAAAAGATAATGCCTGATCTTAGCACAAGCATAGTACAGTGATAAGCACAATTTTTCTATATGGGCATACCTTGTCTCGGGATCAAGAAGACGGCGACCAAGATAAGCAAGCACACATTCTTTACCTTCGTCTTCTTGAGTCAAAACAACCTTGATTATTTTCTCTTCAGCAGCAATATATAATCTGAAAGGAACTCCCCTTCTAGGTGCACGAAGAACCAGTGGTGTTGACAAATATTCTTTTATTTTCTCAAATGCCTCTTGTTGCTTTGCTCCCCAAGTGAATTTAGATTCATCCTTCATCTTCAATATGGGGTGAAAGGAATAATTTTCCCGGACAAGTTAGCAATAAATCTCCTAAAACAGTTCACCTTCCCTAGGAACTTCTGCAAGTCCTTCTTGCATGTAGGCGCCTGAACTTTCTTGATCTTTTCTATCCTCTTGGGATCAATCTCTATGCCTTTATCATGAATTATAAAGCCTAAGAACTTCCCAATCGATACTCCAAAAGCACATTTGAGTGGGTTCATCTTCAATCCATAGCGGCGCATCCTCTCAAAAGCAAGACGCAAATCGGCCAAATGAGATTTATGGGCAGCCAATTTAATCACAATATCATCAATGTATACCTCCATAATCACCCTAATTAGATCATGGGAAATCAAATTCATAGCTCTTTGATAAATAGCACCTGCATTCTTTAGCCCAAATGTCATCACAACCCACTCAAAGAGACCAACAAACCCAGGACATATGAAGGCCATCTTAGACATATCTTCTTCGGCCATGAAAATCTGGTTACAACCGGCATTACCATCAAGAAAGCTAATAATCCGGTGTCCTGAAGCATCATTGATAAGCATATCGGCTATAGGCATAGGATATTCATCTTTCGGAGTAGCTCTATTCACATCTCTAAAATCAATGCATACTCTGATCTTCCCAGAATCCTTCTTCTCAACAGGCATAATATTAGAGACCCACTCTGCATACCTGCATGGCTGGATAAACCCCGCTTGCAATAGCCGATTAATCTCTTCTTTAATCATATCATAAATTGTAGAATTAAATTAGCCGGGGTTTTGCTTGAAAGGCCTGAATCCTTTCTTAATGGGGAGCCAAAGCTCAACAAGCTCTCGGCTCAATCTGCGCATCTTTGTATAATCCCATACAAAACAATCAACATATTCCTTGAGAAGCATGATTAACTCAACTTTGTAATCGGCTTCCAAGTTTTGATTAATAAACATCGGTCGGGGCATAGAGCCATCCCCAATATCAACTTGTTCCAAAGGGTCGGTCGACGTAAAACCTTGGCCCAACTTATCGAGCTCATCAAAATCATCAATAGCTTCATAGGCATCGGTCTTATTAGCCCGATACTGTTCAACACGATGTTTTAACCATTCAACATTGGCATCCATTACAATAATGATTACATGATGATATTGAGCCCATTATCAATCGGCTTCAAGGACATAGGAACAAAACCTTGCCTGGTAACACTAATAAATTCAAAGCTAGAAAGGTCTCTACCAGACAAACAAGCAATAGCATCATGCCCCCCGAGCGTAGGAGCATCAATTGCAGCAACATTAGCCGATGAATCTAAATGCACAACCTCAACAACATCACCCACACATTGGATGAGAAATTGGTGCAAGCGATGGACGCAACGATTGGCATGAATCCAATCACGCCTAAGAATCAAATTATAGCTACCTTGCACGTCGGCGACAAAGAATGCCATAGCCAAAGTCTTGCTTCTAATGGTGAGCTCCATGTTAGCAACTCCTCTGGCTAGGATGGGAGCACCTCCTCCAACACTGTAGGTCGTCATGTTGGTCTTGATCAGCTACTCATCAGTGCCACCGAGCTTCTTGTAAAGCGGATATGGCATCAAGTTCACTATTGCCCCACTGTCCACCAACATGCTATGGACTGGTGTACCATTGATATGGCCCTTCACATGTAGAGGCTTGAGATGGTTGATAGAGTCATCTGGCTTCTTAAATATAGCGCTCTCCGTTGCAAAGTTAAATTCCGCCACTGTAGAGTCATCTGCTACGATGTAGTAATCGGCAGACAAAACAACCACATTGATCTCCCCTCATTTCGGGGTGGCCTCATAGTCAACTATCTCCTCATCGAGAACCTCAGGGACCTCCATGCCAACTAGGGCAGCAATGGTAGTAGCAAAATCATTAGAGGACACCTCGGAGGCACCTGAGACAGCAGGAGTTGGCTCAGCCAACTCTAAAGTCGGCTTAGCCGACTCTGGGCTTCCTAGAGCAGCATCAGCAGGGGAAGTCGGCTTAGCTGACTCTGGCACATCTAGGGTGGCAGGGGCAGGCAAAGTTGGCTTAGCCGACTGACTCAGCACAGGAGTCGGCTTAGCCGACTAGCCAGCAACAGTAGTGGTGTTCTGATCTTCTGAATGATTTTCGACGTGTACGGGGTTGAGAATTTCACCCACCATCATGTCAAGCTTCTCCCTCTTCTGTTGCTTATGTTGGGCACGCTGCAACTTACACCTTTGAGTTTTATTCAACCCACGAGGACACCATATGGGTTGCCGATACTTTGAATCTCCTTCGAAGTGCTTCTTTTCTTCAATTCCAGCAACATCTTTGGGAGCTTCATCTTGCTTAGATGCTAGAATTTCTTCAATTACAATCGGCCCATCATGATTAATGACAGGAGCTTCCATGGAGCCAATTGTGATGACCGATTGAGGCCTAGCTCTTGGTGGAGAAACAACGGGAACCTCAACCTTCTTAGGCACATAGACTTGCTGCATTGGTGCCTTTCTCAATTCCTATGGAGTTAGAGTCCTAGAAGTAATCACATGATCTTGACTTGCACCACCGGAGCTCGATTGACCATTATTCAATCGGCTAAACACAGAGGTCCTTGAGATTTGACCAGCAGGCTCTCCCCACCTTTGTTGACTATGAATAGGCACCACCGGAGGATACGACACCCAAACCCCATAGGGACCCCATTGTGGCATAACCGGAGGTGGAATTGGGGGACCCCAACGAGATACACGTGGAACAACTCTTTGAGACTGAGCTGTTGGTTGCACCACCGCCAATTGCTTGATCTTGTCATCTTCCCACTTAGGCAGAGTAGACTCTCTTTTTTTTTAACGGCCGATTCTGGGAATCATCCTTTTGTTGCTTATACTTGGTCATGAGCCTATCAAAGGTGCATTGCTTCTTCATAAACTCTCCTTGGTTCTTCTTCTCATTGGTCTTCCAGGTGCCAATTTTCGGTCACTGTGGAACAAATGTGCGCAAAACACGAACACCGGAGGCACCGGAGCTGTTGGAACCAGGGGAGTCGGCTAAGCCAACTGGCGTAGTCGGCTCAGCTGACTTGGTTGAGGTGGTGGCCGAGTCGACTGAGCCGACTGGCCCTGCTGTGTGCTGGAGTCGGCTTGGCCAACTGGTGGAGTCGGCCTAGCTGGCCTCTGTTGTTCCACCGTTGTTTTGTACCACCGCTACCTTCTCAAATATTGCATTGATCCAGCGGTGATCTTCAACTTGTTCTTGCCTTCATCATCCTTCTCAAGCACCACTTTGCGCCCCGAATTCGTTTCGACATTCGGTGCTACACGTGGTTCACCGATAATCATGTTCTTGCCTTGGGCTTTATCGGCTTGCTCTGGACGAATCAAAACAGCGAGCGCCCCTGCTTCAACCATGTGCATGGGAAAAGGGGTCTTGTCAACTTGTATTTCAGTAAAACTCAATCGTCTCTCATTAAGGGCCGATTGGACTTGCCAACGAAAAACATTGCAATCATTAGTGACATGAGAAAAAGAATTATGATATTTGCAATAAGTCCTTCTCTTTAACTCATCAGCTGAAGGCAATGTATAATTGATTCTAATATAACTGAATTTTAACAATTCATCAAAGACTCAATCACATTTAGAGAAATCAAAAGTAAATTTCATTTCCTTATTCCGATTTTTATGAATCAGCTTGAGAGAAGGACAAGTAACCAATTTATTCTCTGCTGGCCATTTAATTTTAGCAGCTAAATATTCTTTATTATCATCACCAGAATCATTGGAACAATCACCAACAAAATGCACATTCTAACGATGAGATTTATAAGCATCACGAGACTCTTTAAGGCGCAATTCAATTGAAACGGCCTTTTGCATAAGTTGATTAACATTGTGAAACTCATAATGCCCAAGCTTTTCTCTAATACTAGAACATAAACCAGCAAAGCATAAATTAGTTAAATCTCTTTCAGAAATATTTAAATGGAAACATCGGTTCTTAATCTCTCTAAATCATTTGAAAAAATTATAGACAGACTCATCACGCCCTTGACGAACCGATGCAAGGTGAGACAATCTAGTTTCATGAGCACCGCTATAAAAGTGATTATGAAATTTCTCTTCTAATTCAGCCCATGAACCAATAGAACTAGATGGTAATGAAGTAAACCATGCAAAAGCTGTGCCAGTAAGAGATAAAGGAAAATTATGAACTTTCATAAAATCATAAGCACTAGCTTCACCCAATTGTGCAAGAAACATGCTAATATGCTCCATGGTTGATTTACTATCATCACCACTAAATTTCTGAAAGTCAGATACCCTCCACCCATTAGGTGCTTTTATGAAATCATAAGTAGAAGGGTACGGCTTTTGATAAGTATTCCTACTAGATTTAAGTTGCACTCCTAAACTACTCTCAAGAGATTTAGCCAATTCATCCTTAAACTGATTCAAAGCATCATCAAAATTAGTAGTAGGAGCATTAGGAGTAACATTAAATGTAGGAATTTGACTAGGTCACTTCTGTGGGTTTGGTAAAACATTATGCCCCGCCGAAGCTCTATTTGTTGATGCTCCATAATCGGTTCGAAGAGCTCGACCCGAACTTTGTGCACTAGCACCTGTACGTGTAGATGTGCTAGCACCAGGTTGACCAGCCTTATCGGTTTCAGATGTCGAAGGGGCCGATTGAAATTGGCTAGCGGAAGCATGAGAGGTTTGATTTTCATAAAAATTCAAAGGCATACAAATTGTGGTTGTTGCACGACACCCGATTGATCACAATCGGTTATCTTGCCCTCTAACTTATCCATACGTGCTTAAAGTAAATTAGAAAGATGCTGAAGATTATTATTATGCAATTTCCTTTCGTCTATCAACATCTGAGCAAAATTGGTATGAGTAGGATAAGCATTAGTATTTACCTCCTCATCATACTTAGCTTTTCCATCTCCCTTCTCCCTGGCGCCTGAAGATGTGTAAGTAGTAGCATCACTGTAGGCGGGTTCACGGAATTGAGTAACCTTGTCGTGCCGATTCTTGGTGCAGCTCTCCAAGAAAGCCTTGACATCGACATTGAGCTTGGCTTGTAGCTTCTGGCGTAACTCATCTAGAAGCTCATCCATATTTTGAGGAAAGATCATGTTAGCCACATTGAAGGGGCTGGTCTTGTCACCCTTGTCGGTGGCAGCACCATCGTTGCCTCCCAAGTGGTAGTAGATTGATTCTTGATTCGAGTCGCTCTCCCTAGCGGAGTCACCAAAAAGTATGTTGATGTTGAAGATGACCCCAAGCCAACACATCAGCAAAGCCTTGGATGCCCAAAGAGGTTGCACACAACCTGTAACATAGTAAGAATGCGGCATAATCGATCAAACCGATCTAGAGACCGATGAGACTGATGTAGCCCCTATTCTCGGCCAGAAAAGCTCCCGAACTTCTCCTGGGAAGACCCATCGAGGAGGAGCACGTGGAGGATCTCCTAAGACCAGTAAGGAGGCCTAGGATGCCACTGAATCTCGCCGGGAAACTCAACAAACAACAAGAGGGGTTGAGAGAGGGGAATTAGGGCACAAGGAGTTGATAGATTGGTTTGTATGACGATTGGATAGATGGGAACTCATTCAGCCATGATCCTCTCATATATATAGAGGGGGTGGTCTTATCCCAGTAGGAAACCTCTCCAAGCCTTATTTTCCAAGTTTCCTACGAGTTTGGAACAGTTCTGATCGGAATCCAAAAGGTCAGATCCGAACAGGGTTTTTTGTTAGGTCTGTAGGAAGTCCCGACGGGTGTGGAAACTCCCGACAGTCGGAACTTCTGACTTTTGTTGGAACTCCCAACGTAGGGATAACCCTAGACACCTGAGCAGGTTTCTTCAGGCTTCTCGGAAGTCCCGACACCCATCGGAACTTTCGACAGTCGGAAGTCCCGACTTGGGTCGGTACTCCCGACAACGAAGCATCTTTCCAGGGGCATAACTTCTTCATCTAGACTCTGAATTAGACGTTCCATATATGTTTTTTGACCGTCTTGACAAAAGGAACGCAATGGTGAAGTACGTTCCACATTTTGACAACTTCATAAAATGGACAATTTTGGTTGTCAATAGACATCAAGGGGATCAAGGAGATCAAGATGATGTTGCTCATCATTGGACGCATGATGTGCCCTGGGTACTCGTTCGCTATGTGCATGGTTGAGTACTTTGTGGTGAGGCTGGTCATGGAGCTAGAGTGGCGGCCGCCAGCGGTGGGGGTGAAGGTTGACATGGCAGAGGTGTTTGATTTCACTACCATCATGAAGCATCCGCTCCGTGCTCGCATCATTCCAAGGAGTTGAAGTTACATGTAAAATTATATGGGCTTCTAGCTGCAATTCATATTGTCTTTGTGATATCTACCTAGTAAAATAATAATATGTATACACTATGTCTATGTGAACTGAATTACAATGAAGTGCAACCTACAACAATATATATAAGAAATCATGTGATCTTCTAGTAGTTAATGAGAAATTAAATTTGGTTAAACTTATGACAATTTGACTCTATGTCATCTTCTAAGAAAAATAAGAATGAGATCTAAACATTTGGATTTTAAAATGAATTATAGAATCCAACTGTATAGTAAAACCCTACCATTTATAACCGAGATTTTACGCCACTATCTAGAATTACTATGAGCATATAACGAGATCTTTTTTGCGGTAATTCTTGGGTCAGGGTGTCCGTTCGTTGAACGCTTGCTTGCTGGATTGCGAAAAAACTAGCCCAAGCAACCTGTCTGTGGAAAATGTCACACATGGCCCTGTCTCCATCACACACTGCTCCTCCCTCACAACCTTGCAGCCACGGGCTCCTAGCCTCCCGCATCCAGAACTGCACCCAAAGGCCTCCCAAACAGTCTCGCCTCTGGCAACGATGCCTGCCGCCATGCACCTACGTCTGCCCATCTCCTCCTATTCACCCCGCTTCCTTCTCCTCCCCTCACCGTGCGCATCTGCCCACCACGGACGCTCCACCGAGTCAGCGAGCCTCCATGATAGATCCTCCAGCAAGCAGGCGAGGGGAGGAGATTCGTGTGACGCCGCCCCACCGGTGAGTTGCCCCTACCGCTATCTCATAATGACCTTCGTGCCACTATGAGCTCCATGTGATGTAGCCGACCTCCACGCCGTCGTTGAGCTCCACAATAATGAGCCTCCATTCATCCAAGCAGCAAGGTGACATTGACCTAAAAGCACATGTTGCAAGTGTATGTTCCAAGTATTTCAAATATTTTAGAGGAATGTTGCAAGTGTTTTATATCGATGTTGCAAAAGTAGATTGGGATATTGCACATGTTGCAATGGCTATACACATATGTTTCAAGTGTATGTTCTAATTGTTTCATCTCTTTCAGACATATGTTGCAAGTGTTTCATTTGGATGTTGCAAAACTAGATCGGGATTTTGCATATATATGCAAGTGTTTTATGTGTTTTTCATATGTATGTTG